ACACGACACGACGACAAACCACCCCCCACCCCCCCCACCCCCCCACCCCCCACTCCAACTCATGCCTACCACATCGTGACTGGCCTTGCGCCCATGTCCACGTTGTTGGCTCTGATGTCTCGCAGTCTTGCACTGTTGCTTCCTCTCCAAAAAAGGTCGCAGTTTGAGGCACACTCCCTCTGTGCTCGCCACTGGCACCTCTACGAAAGCTTTACCCTTCTCTCGCTGCTGCATGGCCCTCCAGACACCACAGGGAGCCCAAGCGTCAAGCTTGGGCAAGGTGGTTATGTCGTGGATTGCCGAGTGGGCCTGTGTCTCACGGAAGCCGTCCATCCTCTTTGGTACGCCGCCGTCGCTGCTATCCCCCTTCCTCCCCCCCCCCTACCTGCACTCACCCCCCCCCATCCTGATCTTCAGCCGCTACTGAACACGGCGCTGATCTGGGCAGTATCTCACCTGGACTGCTCGGGTATGCTTCGTTTTTCAATCGCCTTCGGTCTCCAGAGAGCTACCACGACCTCGTCGAGCTGCTGTACGTGCTGTTTGGAGCGAGGCTCTCCGACGACCAACTAGCTGCCGGCTCGGTGTACGAAGCCATCGCCTCAGAGTTTAAGCGGATCATGGCGGTGAGCTGGCTGGCGGCATCCAAGGCCGGTGTTGAGCCGCCGCAGGCTCCGCCTCCGATCCGGCCGATTGGCGGAAGTGTTGGGCGGTCACCCTCGGCGTCGTCATCGCCAGCGCTGCTCGCAGGCCGCGATCGGCGGACTCCCGGCCCACCACAACAGGTAGCCGGCAGAGCGCTTTCATCGACCGCAACGCCATCGACTGCACTTTCGCGCTATGTAGCGTACGTCCACGCCATCACTGCCCTTCCGCACTCTCAGCGCTCACTACAGGATCCCGACCAGGCCCGGACGCTGATGGAGGCCAGGGCGGCGCTCTCGTCCGAGCTCATTTCGCTCTATGCTCTCACCGCCAACACGCAGCGGTGGCAAGCCTACCTTGAGGACCACTCACCTGAAGATCTGGCTGACATGTGCGACCGCTTCTGCACGCCGTTCTCCGACGCTCTCGTCTCGCCGCTCCACGAGCTGGCTGCCCTCGTCTCGGAAGGCACCCTGCCTGCCATGGACTCCGCCCCGCCGCAGGCCCAGCAGGCTACAAAAGGCCCGCGCAAGCGGTCGCTGGCTCCCGACTTTGATGCCGATGCTCGCGCCTGCGGCGACGGCGATGCGCGAGACACCAAGCGCGCCAAACCGCCTGCTCCCGCATCCCCCGTTGACGCCACGGGCACTGAGCCCGTCGACGCCGATGTAATCGCTGCCTTGATCACTCCTAGATCAACCCCGCAGCGACTCTCTCGCACCATCGTCGCAAGCAGCGACGCAAGAAAGCCAAGGCCAAGGCCAAGGCCGAGGCCAGGGCCAGGCCGAGGCCGAGGCCAAGGCCAGAGCTGAGTCTGAGGCCGTAGTTGGCGCCAGATCCAGTCCGTAATACCTGCATCAGACAAGCCATAATCCGTCCGATGCCTTTGCCGTCGCTCCCTTGGCACACATCTCTCTGCACAACTGCCTCTACTACACGACTGTCGCATACTCTGGCCGGGTCGCTCACACGTTCGCTCGTCCGCGCGCCCAACTCACTTTGACAGCAGCTTGCTAAGGACGAGGCTAAAGCGCCAAGGCCACTTCTCCTCCCCTCCTCCTCCGCAACCATGGACCAGTTTACCCTCATTGCCATCATTTTTGCCGTCTTTGTTGTCGTCGGCTCGTTCTTTAACGTGTACGCCACTGCCTCGCACCGACGCCTACCCTCCCCTCCTCGATCCTGCCCAGTCTTCGCGCCATCATGACGCTCTCCCTCCTTCCCTCCCTACCCCCTCCCCCTTGCACGCCTATATACATACTCACTCCCTTCAACACTTCCACACCCTCGCCCTGAACTCAACGCCATGCATGCTCATACCGGAAACAGGTTCATCTTCAACAAGCCCACTCCGCAGAAGAAGGCGCCGGCTCCGGCTGGTGACGCTGCTACCTCGTCGGCCACTTCTGTCCGACGCTCGCCGCGCAAGCGCAACAAGTCGCCCAAGGCCCGCGCCATGGAGGGCCTCTAAACGCTGTGATGGGATCACGACATGATGCGATCATGCGATTCTGTGATCATGTCATCATGGTCCACGCGCTCTCTCTCTCTCTTGTTCTCTTCTCCTGACGTGTGCACTGGTCTCCGACGGCTTCCGTTTCCTGCCACGCCATCGCTTCGGACATGCGGCCGGCATCGACGCGCAGGCCCAAACATCACCATAAATTGTGCATGCTTTAAGTGTATCATCACTCTGCCGCGGCGCGCTTCTTCTTGATCTGCGCCTTGATGGCAAACTCGCCGGCACGGTAAGAGGAGCGGACGAGGGGACCCGAGGCGACGTACTTGAAGCCCATGGCCTCGCCGGTCACCTGCCAGTGCTTGAACTTGTCAGGATGGACGTACTCGGCGACCTTCATGTGGCGCGGTGTCGGACGGAGGTACTGGCCGAGGGTGAGAATCTCCACACCGGCCTCCAGCAGGTCGTCCATGGTCGCCTGGACTTCGGCATCGGTCTCGCCGACGCCGAGCATGATGTTGGACTTGGTGACAATGTCCGGGGTCACCCGCTTGGCCTCGCGGAGCGTGGTCAGCGACTGGTGGTAGCCAGCGCGCCGGTCGCGGACCACACCCTGCAGCCGCTCGACAGTCTCCACATTGTGCGCGTAGACGTCGAGGCCAGACTCGGCGACACGGGCGACGGCTTCGAGGTCGCCAGCAAAGTCCGAAACCAGCGCCTCGACAGTCAGCTCCGAGTCGAGCGACTTGAGATGCGCGATGGTTTGCGCAAAGTGGCCCGAGCCACCGTCGGGAAGGTCGTCGCGGTCGACCGAGGTGAGAACGACGTAGTCGAGGCCCCAATCGGTCACGGCCTTGGCAACCTTGTACGGCTCGTCGGCGTCAGGCGGCGGCGGGGTGTTGGACGTCTTGATGGCGCAGAAGCGGCAGGCACGGGTGCAAGTATCGCCCAGCAGCATGATGGTCGCCGTCGCCGTCCCGTCCTTTCCGCCCCAGCACTCGCCGATGTTCGGACACTTGGCCTCCTCGCACACCGTGTTGAGATCAAGACCGTCGAGCGAGTTCTTCAGCCGCTTGTAGTTGGCGCCACGCGGCATGTCCCGCTTCAGCCACTCGGGCTTGGGCTCCCTCTCCACAAACCCGCGCTTCCTCCGCGGCCGCGGCTCGGGCATGGTCACTCCTCCACGCGGTGTTCCCAGAAAAGCGTCCAGCATCGGTGCCTCTGCCTCCAACCGCGCTGCAAACTCATCCAGCCGCGCCGATCCCTTGCCACTCAGCCTGCTCGCCGTCCCGCTCTCGGTCCCGCTCGTCGCCCCGCTCCCGCCTGCACCGCTCAGCGCCTTGGCTGCTGCTGACGCGGCACGAACGCCTCCCACCGGTCCTGTTGCCAACCGCCCGGCCACAGCCGCACGCACCGCACCCAAGAGCATGCTGACCTGGAGGTGTTGTGTATGTACCTGTGTACCTGTGTAAAGGTATGTGTATGGGCCGGTGACGACGTACGGTGCTGTCGTCAAGTGATGTGTGTTGTCGGTGCTCGTCAGCCGTCGCGTGGCTCGCGGATTCGGGAGCGGACCTCGGGCGGAGGAGGGGACGACGCATCTCGGGCTCACGGCTGCACACGGTCGCCGACTGCCGTGCACTCTGACTCATGGATGATTGTATTTTACATTTCAGTGGCAAGGAACGTGCCGATCCCGTAGAGGCAGAGGATCGGCGGCAGATCACGGGTGAGCGCGTCGAGGCCGGCGAGAAAGTGGGTGTTGTACCGGACAGCGACGGACGGGCGGTCAAAGGTGGAGAAGATCACCCCGGCTTCGGCCGAGTACGCACGCATGAGTTGGTTGACGATGCTGTAGCGGACGAGGAGCAGCCGCTGGAAGGCGTCCGAGTCGCGGTCGACACCATCGTGGACCTCGTCCTCGTACGGATAGTACGCAGTCGACGTCCGCGCGGACGACGCGCCGATACGGGCATCCTCGTCTGCGGCAGCGGCGACCGTGGCGGGCTCAACATCATCGCCGTCCGAGTTGCGGTCGGCGTTGGCCCATTCGGGCCCGACCGACGGCGGCGTAGCGTCAAACCACGAAGCCGAGGCGGCCTCGGAGAGCTCGAGCGGGATGACCTCGGCGTCGATGCGGGCGGTACGGAGCATGAGCTCGATGCGCTCGCGCTCGGCATCCTTGGACTCGCCGGTGTGGATAATGGAGAAGACCCGGAGGCGGGTAAACTTGGACCAGATGTCGGTCAACTGCAGAATCCAGCCAAAGAGCAGGAGAAGGGTGAACGAGTGGTCAAACTGCGAGGTGCCCGAGACGTCGATGGGCCACAAGTCGATGTTGATCTTGCGGCTCCTTGAGAGCGCTGCGGTGGTGGACCGGTACATGTTGGAAAAGAACGACGCCGACCGCTGCGGCTCAGCGCCGAACCGCGAGAGCGCGCGGGTCACAATCAGCTCCTTGTCGAGCCTTTCAAAGTTGCGGGTGATGACCACGTTCTTGTTGAAGAACAGCGCGTCGTTGATGATGCCCACGTACTCAGCTAGGGTAATAGCCGAGGCGCTGGTCGGCTCGCGAAAGGCGGCAGCAAAGTGCCGCCGCGCCGCAGACACAAACTCGCGCCGGCCCGAGAGCGCCGGCCCGCGGAGCGAGACCGTCGACCGCAAGTCGTCCGGACCCAGCCCGGCCGCCTGCGCGTCGGCCATTGACGTCGACGTGTCGAAAAAGCCCATAATGAGCGTGTTTGGCTGCAGCGCGCCGAGGCCCGAGACCTCGAGCAGCGACCGGGCGCCGGCCCGGACCGACGGCGCAATGAGGGTCTCGGAAAAGGCCTTAATCTTGGTGTCGGCGATAAACTCGCGCCATGCTGCGACCTGCTGCTTGTAGCGACGACCTTGGGAGACGACGTCGCCGACCAGGATGTGGCCGACCACGTAGAGGCCACCCTTTTTGAGGTTGTTGACAAAGTCGAGGACCTGCAGCGACGACGTCGGGTTGGCGCAGAGGTAGAGAAACTGCGGCCGCCAGTACTTGACGTGGTTCTTGCGGACGTCGAGCCGAAGCAGGTACTTGCGGACTTGGTGGTACATGAGCGCCTGTGAGATGAAGCCCCAGTTGAGCGGCGGCGCCGTCCAGTGGACATAGATGAGGAGGATGACAAGGAAGCCCAGCGAGACGCCAGCGTAGACGACGTCGACAAAGAACATGGTGCCTAGACAGACGACGGTGCCGAGGCCGGTCGTGAACGCGTTCGAGCCGGTAAACGACGGGCGGTAGTTGGGCGTGCCCGAGATGGAGAGGACAAAGCAGGCAAAGTTGATGATGACAAACGAGATGAGGAAGCAGGAGGTGGTGATCTTTGCGAGCGTGTTGAGATCGCCCACAAACAGCAGCGCCTGGATGAGTACCATCGAGAGGAGCACGCCGTACCGCGGCTCGTCCGAGCCGGGCGCGCCATAGGCAAACGGCTTGAGAAAGGCAAAGAGCTTGTCGCGAGCCAATGCCTGCACAATCCGTGAGCCGCCGATTTGGTTGCCGAGCGCCGATGAGACCGTCGAGCACACAATGCCGGCAGTCACAATGTACTTGGAGATGCAAATGTCCTGCACCACGTAGTAGTTCTCCAGCATCTCGGACCGCTGGATCGTCGCCGCCATCGAGACAGCAAGCAGCGCGTACGTGACGTACGTCAGCACAACCGCAATAAAGGTGCCGCGCGGCAGCGACCGCGCCGCGTCGGCGAGGTCGCCCGACATGTTCGAGCCGGCAAGCAGGCCGGTCGTCGTCGGCATGTACACCGCAAACACCGACTGGAACGACTGCGCACCGGCGCCGGCAGGCGCAGCCTGGAAGTCGGGGTACAGATTGTGGTGGAGCGTCGACCTCGAGAAGCCGGTGTAGCCGGCGACCGAGCCGTTGGATCGGAAGAAGATCGAGCCGAGGACCACGGCAATGATGGCCCAGAGGAGGACAAAGATAAAGATCCCGGTCTTGGCATACGCTTTGGCGCCGACGAGGCACACTACCGTGACCAGCAGGAGGACCGCCGATCCGTAGGCGAGCTTGTGCCAGCGGGTGCCTGGCAGGTCAAAGGCCGAGATGAGCGCGTCCGAGAGGCCGACCAGATACAGACCGCAGCCGGCAATGTTGGCGGCGTAGAAGATGAGGCCAATAGCACCACCAAACTCGGGGCCGAGCGCCCGCGAGATCATAAAGTAGCACCCGCCGCCACGGACCCGGCCGTTGGTGGAGATGGACATGAGCGAGAGAACGGTGAGGCCGGCGACCGAGTAGGCGGCAGTCATGATGACCAGAAAGAGGAGCAGTCCTGACTGAGCACACGCCCAAGACAGCCTGAGGAAGATGATGACGCCAAAGACTCCCAGCGTGTTGGGCATGACCACGCCAGAAAAGGTACCCATGGCGTTGGCACCTTCAGCACGCTCTTCAGGGAGCAGGACAGACTCGCCATGCCGAGTCCACGGACGGACACCAGGCGGTGTCTCGGCATTACACGCCCCCACCGTGTTGAGCAGTGGTGAAGCTTCGCCCGCACTAGCCATGTGCTTTGCTATACCACCAAAGACTGTTGGTCGACTTCCACAGTCCTTGCCGAGTGGAGTGCCTGTGGCTGCGTCTGCGTCGCCCGCGTGTGACACGGGCGGAGGCGGCTGCCATTCCGTCGCATCCGCAGCAGACCGGTCAGCAGGTCCGGGGGAGGAGGCAAGCAAGAGAGGGTTAGTGGGGCGAGGGAGATACTTTGTTCAATGACGAAGGGCAGAGAGAAAGACTCCGGGGATGTCGTCAAGCGATCGAGCCGGAGATGTCGTCGTCAAGCGATCGAGCCGGATAAAGAGAGCGGAGAGGAGCAGCATCGGCACTACTCATTGTGCCCCTCCTGCTGCTGTTGGAAGACAGTCGAGAGCTGGGCCTCTGCCGAGTCCATGCGACGTTCCAGAGTGGAGAGCTGATCGTTGAGCTTGGAGAGGCGATACCTGGTGGAGATGTCAAACTTGTTGAGGAACTCGACAATCTTGAGCACGTTGACGGTAACCGACTCCTACATAGGCAAATCAGACGACATACAGGTCCGAGACGTCCATCAGGCGACCAGGTGACCAATTTGATCAAGCGACCACGTCCATCAGGTGACCACGTCCAGCAGGCGACCACGTCGAGCAGGCGACCACGTCCACCAGACGACCACGTTGACCAAGCGACAACACACACACACACACACACACACACACACACACACACACACCAAAGCCATTCACCACCAACACAACAACAACAACAACAATGTCTGTGAGTACCCTCTCCTCCTCCCCTCCCCCCCCTCCCCCCCGTGCGCCCTTCCCCATCACTCCACCAACGTTCCCCTCCTCCACCGCTCCTTGTATGGTGGACTTTGGCAAGAGCCAACGCTCGAAAAGGGAGCGAGAGAGCACAGGCAGGGCCAACCCCCCCCCCCTCCCTCCCACTCACCCTCCCCCCCCCCCTTCCCCTCCATCTCCCTCATTCCATGTCCTTCTCAATACATACAATGAACTCGCGGTGCTGCCAGTCGCGCTGAACCTCCGCCATACCTGCTTCAAGCGGCTGCGTCAAGTACCGCCGTCGTCGACTCTCGCGGCGGAGGACGGTCGCTCGGCGAGGAGTCGGCAGTGAGTCGGTTGCCGCCGCCGGGCTGGATTGCGAGTTGGCTTTAGTCATCGTCTCCACCCTTGATGCCCTTGCCTCCGCTTTTGCCAACATCGCCTTCCGTATCGTCGGCGATGTCGATGTCGAGAGCGTACCCGTCGTCGTTGCCTGACTTGGACGAGGCGTGCGCCCGTGATGAGGAGGAAAAGTGGGCGGCGCGGCGGGCGGCCTGCTCGTCGGAGCCGAGATACTCTTCGAGCGCGAGGAGAGCGTTGAATGCCGGATCCTGCTCGGCACGCTCAAAGCGCGGATCGGTGGACTCGAGAAAGTCGGCGACGTCGTGGGCAGCGAGCGCGGCACCGGGCGCAACGACCGAGTCGACCATGTCGAAGAACGCCTCGCGGGCCTTGGCCTTCGCGTCGACCAGAAACTCGCTATAGACTGCAGCGGCACCAGCAGCGCTGAGGCTGAGCGCCCGGATTTCTTCGCCAGTCCCCGGAAGCTCGCCGAGGAACCGCTGTGCACGCGGCCAGTCCCAGTCGAGCCGGAGGTTTGCGGCGTGACGGGCAAGGATGACGGCGAGGCGGCCCTTGGCCGAGGTACCGAGCTCGGCGAGGTGTTTCTCGACGGCGGATCGGCGGAAGGCGTCCGAGACGCCCGGTGCTGACCAGCGCGGGTCGACGCCAAGCCGGTCGGTGATGGCGGCGTAGTCCTCGGCCGGCGACTTGACAAACTCGGCCAGGAGGGTGAGAAAGTCGCTCCGGGCAGTCTCAGCCTGGACCTTGGCAGTCGCCTTGGCCACAGATGCCCGTGACGCCTCGGCCTCCTTCAGCGAGTCGGTGTAGTCGTAAAAGTAGTCCTCGGCCTTGGATGGAGGAAGCGCCTTGAAGGCCGGGTCGTCGGCGATGCGCGGCCGGGTGGTCCGCCACTGCGAGTCCCCGCCCAGTGCGGGGTCCTCCAGCGACGCCAAGAGGCGGACGTACGCCGCCTTGGCCGCATTGCGTTTGGCCTTGCGCTCCGCCTTGAGTCGCGCCTTCTTCTCGCGCAGCGCACTGACCTCGCGCGCAAAAAGCGCCTCGCGCTCTAGCTTGCCCACGCCGCTGTAGGCAGGATCGTCGCCGGCCACCGCCCGCAGATCGTACAGCTGTGGCTTGGCCGGAAGCCGCGGCAGCATCTTGCGGATGAGAGCGCAAAAGGCAGAAGCGGCAGCATTTCGTGCCTGCTCCTCGGCCGACGCTGTTTTCTTGCTCGCAGCCTCGGTAGCGACAGCCTCAAAGATGGCGCGGCGGTCGTCCTCGTCGGCAACAGCGGCAAACCGGGCGTCTTTCTCTAGCCTGCTCTTCATCACATAGTAGTCCGAGAACGGCGTGATGCCGGTCTCCCACAGCAGGGCACGGAAACCCTCAACAGCCTGTGCCACCGTCTTGGCATCGTCAGTGTCTGCCCACGGCGCCTCGGGCATAGCTGTCTCCTCGGCGCCCGCACTCGTTGTCGACTGATTCCTAGCATGGACCGGCGGATGCTGAGCTCTGCTCGTTCTTCCGCTCTCATCACGCTTGCGCTTCCTTCGTGGCCCCGTAAAGCCCGACAAATCAAACGGCTCGAGCACTGCCGGAAGGTCCCACGACGACGTGGCCGACGACGCGTGGTAGTAAAAGACCTTGGCTGGGTGGTTGTCGGGTGCGTTGGTCTTCACCACTCGCCATCCTGTCGAGCCCAGCAGAGGAGAAGCATAAACAGGCCGCAGCGCCATTCTCCCTTCCATAGTTGCCAGCGAAGGAAGTGCTTGGAGGGGGTGAGAGGGGGAGGGGGAGTGAGGTGTTGGCAAACGCAATGGCGAGGTCCGCACACTGCCGCCGAGCCACAGTGAAAGTGATCATGATCGTGATCATGATCGCGATCACGCTCTCGATCAAGCCCAGGACAGCGCCAGCCTCCAATCGCCATTGTGCTTCCCTGGCCCAATGCTTCCCTCACGCTCATTTGCCCAATACCAGACATATCCATGTCATGTGCTAACCCATGCGTAGCCTAACTTGTTTCTACAACGAAGATCGAGCTCAAATACAGTCGTCATCAGTTGAGGCTATCCCCCCTCTCTCGGCCAGCCAGCCGCAGCCGAGACAGCCAGCAGCCAGCCAGCACCACCCTCACTCGTCTTGTTGTGGGCCCAACCACATGCAGGTGTCCACTCCAGCCCGGGGCACGGACTCGATCCGTGCTCTCCAGGCAAGGATGAGCATGGACCAGAATGGGAGTCCTGCCGTTACCCCAGCACGTGCTGGTGCTGATGCCGCTGCTGGTGGCAGTGGTGTTGGTGGTGGTGGTGAGGCAACGGCTGGTAGCGGGACGACAGCACCCATGCCTGGTGGTGCGGCCACCCGTGGCTACGACAGAGAGCGCATTGACCATGCAGACGAGGACGACTTGGCCTCTCGTACATCAGGTGTCTCGTCCACCGGTACCACCTCTACACGCAAGTAAGTCACATCACCATACCTCCTCCCCCCTCCCTCCTCGCCTCGCTGTGGCCGCCAAAAATCCGCTGGTTGCCATTGGCGAGCGACTTGGCGCTAGCGACTCGGCTGGGCCGGGCGAGCGGACGTGTGCATAGCTCGGCTGGTGGTGCGGTGAGAGTGATTTAGACGGGATAGGTTGGATGCACGTAATAGAGATTGGGGAGGCGATTTATGTGGTTCCTGTGGTGGGATGCAGGTCGGCAAGGCGGACGCATCGCAGTTCGAGCAGAGGCAGTCGGTCCAAGACGAGCAAGAGCAAGAGCAAGAGCAAAGGCAAGAGCAAGAGCAAGAGCAAGAGCAAGAGCAAAGGCAAGAAGGCGCGGAAAAGCCAGCTTCAGCGTCAGGCCTGCCGCCGTCGCCGCCGTCGCCCGTGCCGAATGTGGCTCTGGCGGCTACCCGCGGCCCGCTCACTGTCTCGCAGCTCGAGCCCGAGTCGGCCAACGATGTGATGGACACGTCGGCTGATGGGTATGAGTACGAGTACGAAGTAGAGTATGTTTACGACGCCGACGCCGAGGAGCGCTTGGCGACGCCGACCGAGGCGGTGCCGCGGCCTCCGGAACTCTCGCCGATCCACAACTCGCCGTCTCGGTTTGAGTTTGTGGAGGAGGTCTATGGCGTCGACGAGTCACAGGTCAACTACGGCGTCAAGCTGTACGAGGAGGCGATGCGGCGGCGTGCAGCGCGTGAAGCAGCAGTGGTGGCGTCCCGGGCCGAGGCCGAGCGGTCGCTGACGCGCGACGCGTTTCGGCCGCGGCTGGGCCCAACTGCCGTCTCGACGCAGTTCCAGGATCCAGACTTTGTGACCCGGCTCCAGCGGGTTTCCGAGTACTCGCAGGAGCAGCGCGAGGCGCTTCGGGCCGAGGTCGAGGACGAAGTTCTCGCCGAGTGCACCTTTGAGCCGCGTATTTCGGCCAAGTCGAAGCAGATCATGAAGCGGAAGGAGGAGCAGCTTGCGGCAAAGCGGGCCGGGCACGACCCGTTGGCGTCGATGCTTGACCGGTTCAACCACTACGAGGCCAAGCGGGTGGACCGGCTCAAAGACCTCATCAAGCTCCGCGAGGAGGAGCTCGAGGTGACCGGCTCGCCAGCCATCTCGGCGTACTCGCAGGCTATTGAGCGGACCGACTCGCTCTCAGTCCACGAGCGGCTGTACGCCAAGGGTGCCGAGCACCTCAAGCTCCGCAAGATGAAGTCTGTGGCGCTCGCGGACCGGCTGTATGAGGAGGCGTGCCAGCCCAAGCCTGTGGTGCATGACATTGCGGTGCCGTCGATCAAGCGCGACTACGACCGGACGCGACTCCTGGTGCGTGCGCAGCGGTCGGCGCTCGGCGTCCACGAGGCGCTATACCATGAGGCCAAGGCGCGGCAAGAGACCAAGCGCAAGCGTGAGCTCCGCGCCCAGTTTGAGGAGGAGCTCCTCCACGCTGCACCCAAGATGTCGGCCAAGTCGCAGGCCATCATCCGGTCCAAGCTCTCCGCCGAGTCGGTGTCGAAGCTCTTTGCGCAGGCCGACGTTGATGAGACCGGCGACCTCTCGCGCGACCAAGTCGAGCACCTCTTTGTCGAGCTCGGCTGGTTTGTCTCACGCTCGGTCGACAAGCACAAGCCGCGCATCCAGGAGGAGCAGGCCATGCTCGACTCGGTGTGGACGCATCTCGATCCAGACGGCACCGGGCGGGTCGAGCCGGAGAGCCTGCACGCGTTTGTCGACTCGGTTGTCGAGTCGGACCCGGTGCTCTCATCGGCAACGCCGGCCGATGTGATGGCAAGGGTCCACGGCGCCGCCGACTCGGCGTCGGACTCGGGCGCTGTGCTGGATGCGCTGATGGAGGCCGACGGGAAGCTGGCGGCGGCGTTTGCGGCGCGGCCGGAAATTGTGCAGTTTGTGGAGCTCATCCGGACCAAGTCTGCGTACGAGGCCCTCCACCGGGCGCCCAAGACGCCAGTCCTCGACGACGACTGCACCTTTCAGCCGCAGGTCATGGTGACGAACCGAACGGCCAAGCTGGAGGCCAAGGCGCTAGCGCGCTTGATTGTCAAGAACCCGGAGCTCTCGCGGTCGCCGAACCGGCGGCATGAAATCATCGAGGAGCGGGCCAAGATTGCGCGGCGCAAGGCCGAGGTCAAGCGGCTGGCGGCGCTCGACGCCAAGCTCAAGGAGTGCACCTTTTCGCCCAAGGTCAACAAGTACACTAAGGCCGCGCCGCCGTCGGCAGCAAGCGGCGCGACAGCGTCGCCGTCAGCATCCAAGTCGTCGCCGGCTCGGGCGGCCATGAAGTGGCAGGCCAAGCTCTCGACCGAGGAGCGCGAGATCCTGGAGCACTGCAAGTTCAGCCCGGCCATCCGCGAGCCTCCGCGGTCGATCCTGTACCCCAAGGCGTCGCCGCTGGCCAAGGTTAAGGGCGTCGAGAAGGCAGTCAAGCTCATGACCAGGGGCCGTGCCGACCGCGAGGAGAAGCGCCGGCTGAACGCGCCACTCCACGACTGGGAGTCGGAGGACTCGGCGCCGGCGGTGGCGGCTCGGAGCGGCAAGGCGCGCCGGGCAAAGGTTGGGCAGGCGGCTGAAAAGCGCCGGCGCGACTCGGTCGACGACACAACGTCGGTCGTCTCGGACGTCTCCATTGATCCAATCCTCTTTGTCATGGACGTCAACCTCGGCATGGGCCGGTCCGGCAAGCTCGGCGTCCGCGCCGGCGACGACCCGGCCATCCTTGCCCGCGAGTTTGGCGCGCAGTACCACCTCGACGCCGGAATGGTCCGCCAGCTGCAGGTCATGGTTGCCTCGCACCTCGAATCGTACCTTTCATCCAACTACAACAACGAGCTCATCGACATCCATAAGACGCTAACGGCCAAGGCCGCCAGCGACACTCCGGGCGCCGGCGGGCGCAACGACGGTGGCAGCGCTCACGTGCCCAACGCGCAGCCTCAGTATGAGTACGAGTACGAGTACGAGTTTGTTGACGATGCTGGGAGCGACCACGAGCCGCCGCATGCTGCCCTCTACGTCGACCGCGTGGCTGAGCACGGCAGCGAGGGCGCAGCCGGCAGCGAGGGCACCAGCGGCGCCGGCCCACAGGTTGTGCTCGAGCTGAGCGGCGAGGCGCGTGAGGGTGCAGTCCTCAACGCACACGAGATTTTCATTGGGTGCGACGCGACCGGCGCGACACGGCGGTGGATCCGCATCGAGCCGGCGACCGGGACCAAGAGCGTGATGACGACTGGGTCGACTGAGCTTGTGGTGACCGGCGAGATGGCGGGCTACTCGTTTTTGTACCAGTGCCAGCCGGTGGGCGGGCGATGGACGTCGACGCCGCCGGTGGGGCCTGTGTCAGCGCAGGCGCCTGCCGTGCTGGACCTGGCCATCGAGGGGCGGCTGATGGAAGGTGTTACGCTCCGGGTCGGCGGGCAGTATGCTGGCGGCGAGGAGGGCGCGTCGGAGATCAAGTGGTACGCACGGTCGAAGCGGTCGACGTCAAAGAACGTGCTGCTAGCTACCGGACGAGAGCTTCCGCTCTCGCTCACCCACGTCGGCATGACACTTGTGGTCGAGTACCTGCCGGTCCGCAGTGACGGTGAGGTCGGCGAGCTGGCGTCTGCCATGGCGTCGCACGCGGTCGAGCCTGCGCCGCCGCAGGTCCTCGAGCTCACATTTGGATCCGAGCTGGCGGCGTCGCCTCAGGAGGGCGTCGAGCTCACTCCGGTCGGCACGTACTTTGGCGGTGAGCCGGCGCAAATCCAGCAGTACCGCTGGTACCGCATTGTCCCGCGCGGTCCCGACCCCAACAACGCCGAGCTGCTCGAGATTGCCGGCACGAAGCGGTACATGCCGACTAACGACGACGTCAACCACTTTCTCAAGTTTGTGTGGACCCCCGTTTCGGCATCGGGCCGGATGGGCGAGGCTGTGGGCATCACAACCCGGACTCCTGTCGCCCGCGCCACCGGCCGGCACTAAGGCCCAGCACATGTTGACGATGAGCTGTGATCGGAGCGGCGATGGTCGGCATGCTGCTGGAGGCGAGCGTGATCCTTGTCCAGCGGCTCGTCGCCGAGCCCGTCAGCCGGCCACAACCTCGAGGCAGCGGGTGGTACTGACGCGTCGGCGCCCATGCCGCGCCGGGCAGTATTCGGTGGTCGAGGCCATCGCTACCTGTCTTCTGACGCCATGGCTACACCTCCCCCCGGAGGACCCAAGCCACCGCCTAATGAGGCGCGACGGACAGCGACAGCGTTGTTCAAGTACGTCTCTCATTGAAGGTGATGAGCGTGTGAGTGGGTGAGTCTTGTGGAGTGGGCGGGCGTGGAGAGGGGGAAGTGGGGGAGGGGGTGAGTGAGGTAGGCAGAGTGGGAGTGGTGGTCGTAGCGAGGGTTAGGGGTGGTGAGGATGACTTGGTGCGAAAGGAGCAGCAGAGAGTCGGTGGTTGGCTGGCTGCTTGGTGTTTGTGTGTGTGAGGGGGGGGTGGGGGGGTGGGGGGGTGCGGCGTTGTGGTGGCGTGGAGGGAGGATCGGGGACAGACTGCGGCAGGGTGAAGGAGCGACTGACTGACTGATGATGGTGGGTTGATGGTGTGGTGGGGGTGATGACTCGGTGGGGCGGCAGGTTGCTCAATCCGGAGCTGTTCATCAAGCCTCGCCGGTGGGTGAGCTACACGGGGACGGCGGTGGTCCTGGGTGTGGTCGGCTATCTGTACTACCACAAGCAGATGATGGAGAACGACCGCGCGTACAGGCAGAAGCGGCGCGAGGCTCGCCCGCAGTCGGAGATCGAAGATGAGCTCGAGTGGCAGGAGGGTACGTCTGCTGGGGGAGGGCAGGGAGCGGGCTGATGGTGGCAGCGACTCACACACGGCGCGAGTGCAGAGGAGAGGCGGCTGGCCAAGATCGCGGCACGGAGCCGGGCGGCGCAGGCACGGCTTGAGGCGGCGCGGGCGTATAGCAAGCCGGGTGGAGGCAAAGCGGGCGGGGGCGATGTGGGCGTGGCGGGCAGCGGGTCAGCCGGGCCTAGTCCTGGGACTTCTTCTCCTGCGAGCTGAGGAGGAAGGCATTAAAGTCCTCGCGCGAGACGCCCGGAGCATGCGACTGTGACATGCAGTGGGAGATGATGGACTCTGCCTCGTCCATGCCAATGGACTCGCCGAGCGCGGCCATGATCTTGGAGAGGTCTGCGGCGGTGATGTACTCGTCCTCGCCGTCTTCGCCAGGGCTTGCAGCGTAGCCAGAGAGAATAGCAAAGATAGCGTCATCCTCCTGGGCCATCGTCCGGCCCACGCCCTTCATAGCAGCCATCATGTCGAGGAACTGGGAAAGTCAAGTGTACCTGCCCGATCCACATCAAACTCATTGATCATGTCCTCAAACTCCTCCACAGAAGCATCCAGTGAGAGCTTTCCCTTGCGCATGACCCCACGCAGTTCGCTTGCAGACACCGATCCGTCTGCATCCTTGTCCACCATCGAGAACACGTCCTTGAACAGAGCCACCTCTTCCTGGGAGAGGCTTGTTGACTGTGGAAGGGGGGTGAGGAGGGGGTGAGGGGAGGGGGGGGGGGGGGGGGGGGTGGGAGGGAGGGGGGGA